ATTAGGCTACTATCCACAAATAACGAGATATTATGTCGAAATAACGTTTTCTTTCTTTTTTTTCTCATCTTGCGGTTCAGGGCCTCCGTACTGAACTGTCAGCTGTGACGTAGAAACCAGTCCAAAAACACAAGCACTTGTTTCTCATCATGTAAAACTCTGATTAAAGGGACAGTTGACTCAAAAATGATCATTCTGTCATCATTTTCTCTCCCTCATGTCCTTCCAAACCTGACTTTTTTTATCCTTCTGTGGAACATAAAAGAAGAGATAGGTTTTCAAATGTGTTTGGTTACCCCTGCATGGAGAAAAACGAGACAAAAAAATCAAAATGTTCTCAAAATATCTTTTATTTTCCTGAGAAGAAAAACATGAAGGTGAGAAATTTCCATTTGTGGGTGAACTATTCCTTTAAAAAAAAAACCAAAAAAAAAAAAAACCCAACATTTTAACTTTCATTGCGTCTAGTTGGGATACGCTCTGAAGGTTTCCGATTCATCCAATTACACGTCTTTCAATTTCAATGAAGAGAACTACCTCATGAGAGTCATTTTAAATCACACTCTGGTTGTGCTTTGTTTGTTGTTGCATGGCCCACGCAATATACACACGCGTTGTCAATTTATCATCATTGTATACTTTTTTTCATCGCGTTCAGTTGTAACTAAGATAACACATCATTTCTCTTGCTCAGATTCTGTGCTCCTGCAGGAGTGTTTTGTTCGAGATCGAATCAGTTCTCGACCCCAGACACACACTCATTTACATCTGCACGCCATGGTGTCCTTTTCATCCAGCGCTACTTTCACTGACTCCTCAACAGTGTAATTCACACAGGAACTGGATTCCTGCAACCCTGACCTCGCTCTTATTGGCCGCCTAATTGCTGGAGTCAGACTGTCTTTCCTTTGTTTAACATTTTGCAGGAGTCCTGGACGGAGTTGAAACATATTCCCTCCCCCTTCACGTTATGCAATAGCCCTACAAAAATATTTAGACCTGCTCTTTTCATACGCTGACATTAATGAGTATTACATACTCCTGTCCAAAGTGCAATAAAGATTCCAGTTTCCTCTCGACTCGCAGGCCAAGAGCCTGAATTGTAATTTGAGCAAGGAATTATAATGACATGTCTGAGTTTGTAGAAATTCCTCTGCGCCTGCCAGGGCCGAGAAGGGACCGGGGCCGTTACAGTACAGTGTATCATTGTTTACGTGCGGCGGATTTTTCCGAAACATTTCTTTTCCCTTTCGTCGCACTTTCCTCGCTTATCTTCTCGTCACTCGGAGCATGTAAATAGTTCACGGTTGTTGGAGCAGCGTTTCTTGTTGTTATGTGTGCAGGAACATGTACAGCACATCCATCCGTACGCCACAACTATTGGCTCAAATTATGGATGAAAGTAACCTCAATATTTTAGAGTACACCAACTTACTGTAACATACAATATATATATATATATATATTTTAAATTGTTGTTTAACCCGAAGTCTGATTGATAGTCTAGTCTATTAGTTTAGACTATTTTATCTAGTAAAAGTCTTTCAGTGTAATTGTGCAAACGTCCTCCTTCAGCTCGAGTCTTTCTGTGTCAAATCTGCCCCGATTTATCAAGGAAACGCAGGAAGAACTTTGATATTGTTCGTAATATTTTGCTTTACTTGATTATCGTACATCATTTATAGAAAAATCATGTGTCATCAAATATGATCATCAGGTTTATTAGTTCATCTCCCAATCATCATTGTATTGCATTATATGATTTAAAACTACAGAGATTTGATCATAAAACTAAGCATTTAAATATCATCTTACTAAGACATTATTAGCAGATATTGATATTTATATGCATTTTCTGCAACTATCTGCTATACTGTTATAAATATCTCATTGATCTCACAAGCATTCGAATTTTTTACCCATATTAATATCAGCATCTTGCATATTTTTGTTCACTTTGGAATAAAACTGAGCTGGTTTTTCCTCCATATTGTCACTATATGAGCCTTAAAAGCCTGATGCATCAAAAATCCTGCCTAATGATTTACACAGAGACCTGGCTGCAAGAGGATTTTCCAGACTCATTGGTGCAGGTACGAGGCTTCTCATGTGTGCGTATGGACAGAAACAATGACTCCGGGAAGCTGAGGGGGGGTGGGATTTGTGTTTATATCAATGACTCATGGTGCAATAATTATACGATAAAATATAGGGTATGCAGTCCTGATCTCGAACTTATTTGCATTAGTTTGAGACCTTTTTATCTACCTAGAGACTATGGGAACATTTTTGTATGCTCAGTATATATTCCGCCTAGTGGCAACGCATCTAAAGCAGCTTCACGTGTGGCAGATTGTGTCCACCAGCAGCTTAATGATAAACCAGATTCCCCTATATTTGTTCTTGGAGACTTCAACCATTGTAAATTAGAGTTGTCTCTTCCTGGATTTCAGCAATATGTTAAAGACAACACACGTAAGAATAGGACACTAGACAAATGCTATGGCAACATTAAAGATGCATATGCTGCCAGAATCAAACCCCCCCTCTCAAACTCAGATCATAACATCATCCATCTGATCCCCACATTTAAGTGTGCCATTAAAAAGAGCAGACCCATCTCAAAAACCGTCAGCGTGTGGCAGGATGAGACCAAGGAGACGTTGAGTGGATGCTTTCTGGCCACAGACTGGGATGTCTTTTACCAGGACAACGATATTGACAGAATTGCGGAAACAATAACGGGGTATATCCAATTTTGTGTTGATACTGTTGTGCCGAAAAAAACGATCACTATATATCCTAACAACAAAGACTATATAACACCGGAAATTAAACAACTGATCAGGAGGAAAAAGCAAGCATTCCGGAATAATGATTTGATGGAACTGAGATCAATACAAAAAGACCTGAGGGGGAAACTGAAGAAGGCACGAGAGGAACACAGTAAACAAGTTAGGGAAGCCTTTTTAAGGAATAACCCCAAAAAAATGTGGGACACGGTGAAAGAAATGACTAATATGAACTCTGGTCAGAAGGAATTAGGTGTGGAGAATGAATTTGATAAGGCAAATGATCTTAACATCTTTTATAAACGTTTTGATTTGAATGGTGAAACAAATGTGACTTGCTGTAAAGAGCTGTCTATGTCAATACCATGTGATCCAATACTAGATAGAATAATAATTAAACCTAAAGATGTCACTGCAGTCTTTAAAAAGTTGAATAGCAAGAAGGCCAGCGGACCTGATGGTATCTCATCTTTTATTTTAAAAACATTCTCGGATGAGCTAACCCCAGCTTGGTGCACCTTATTTCAACTTTCTGTGGATACATGTACTATTCCCACTATTTGGAAGACATCAGTTGTCATCCCGTTGGCCAAAAAATCATGCCCCAAGCAAAATGATGACTATAGACCAGTAGCGCTGACTTCTATAGTGATGAAGTCACTGGAACGTATAATGGTTGGTAAATTAAGAAGTGAGGTACAGCATCTCTTGGACCCATACCAATTTGCCTATAATAATGGCAGGGGTACTGAGGATGCTTTAATTACAACTGTACACTCCATCTTAAAGCACTTGGAAAATCCATTAGGTTATGTTCGCTTATTATTTATGGATTTCAGTTCTGCTTTTAATTGTATTCTTCCGCAGAAAATGTTAAGTAAACTACATCAGATGAAAGTGAATCCCTTCATTATTAAATGGTATGGTTCTTTCCTGACAGAAAGGAAGCAGCAGGTGAGAGTTAACTCCACCCTTTCTGATATGATTAACATTAGTACAGGTGCCCCGCAAGGTTGTGTAAGTTCGCCCTTACTTTTTATATTATATACAAATGAGTGCAGAAATAATGATGAGAGGAATAATTTTATTATTAAATTTTCAGATGATACGGCCATCCTTAGTTTACTTTACAAAAACTCAGATATTGGTATGTATACACAGGAGATAGAGGAGATGGTGAAGTGGTGCAATAAGCATAACTTGCTCCTTAATGTTAATAAAACTAAGGAAATGATTTTTGATCCTAAGTCTATAGGTGACCTAAGCCCTATTCTAGTTGAAGGAGTTCCGATTGAACAAGTAACATCGTATAAATATTTAGGAATTCAATTAGATAAACAGTTACAATGGTCACATCAAGTGGAATATGTTTCCTCAAAAATATGTCAGCGTCTTCACTTTCTAAGAAGATTAAGAGTGCATGGAGTTGACAAGGATATTATGATACTGTTTTATAAGGCAGCTATTGAGTCAATTGTTCGATATGGTATGGTAGTTTGGTTTGGTAACCTGTCAGTTAAATTAAAATCATCACTCCAAACATTGATTAAAAGGGCAGGGAAAATAATCGGGCAAGTGCAATCGACTACTCTTAATGAGCTTTTTGTGGAGGCGGTAAAGAAACATAGTTTTAAAATAATCAACGATCCGAATCATGTCCTATGCAGTGAGTATGAGATGATGCCCTCAGGCAGAAGGTACAGGTTACCAAACTGCAGATTAAATAGGTTTAAATTTTCTTTTGTACCGCTCTCTATTAAAATACTGAACGATCAACTAGGGTGTGTGGGTTAGAATTTAAGTGTGAAACTAATTATGTTTAATCATGTCGGGTGTGACATTAATTTTTAACATTAATATAATCTGTAATTCATGTTTGTGTGTTATGTGTTATGTATAATGTATACTGTGTTGCATCTGTTTCCTGAAGGCCAAAGATGAATTTCTCCATTAGGAGACAATAAAGGCTAATCCAATCCAATCCAATCCAAATATGATACTCAACAAAAACACATATGTAAACTTTGATGTACTGTACATGTCATGCAGGCTTTACAGGGTTAATTATAGATAGGAGATTCAGCATGTGCTTATGTATATATAATATTTAAAACTGTTTCAAACAGACTGTCACGGGTGGGTGTTGTAAATACAAAGAAAGAGGAATAGTTCATTTAAAAAATGAAAACTCTGTCATCATTTACTCACCCCCAGGTTGTTTCTTAGGGTTTCTTTTTCTGTTGAACATAAAATAAAATATAGAAATATTTTCTAGCCATTGATTGACTTCCATAGTATGTTTTTTTGCATCCTGAGTTTGTTCTGCTGTTTAACGCTGTGGTGTTGTGTGCAGTAAAGTTCAAGCCCGCATGGCGTTCTCCTCGTACCTGCAGCGTGTGCATCTGCGCCTGCTGTCCGAGAGCAGAGCCCACAGAAGCCCCGCCTGGACTCAGAAGGAGCACGATCAGATGGTACACCAGTCTTCATTTACTCAAATATACTCAAATAATTTCACACACCATACCGAAATCTTTCACAGTTGTAGGATTAGCTCCCTCCCAAAATGAGTATTCTGTCATCATTTAATGTTGTGGGTCAGTTTGACCCGCATGATGCTGGTTAACCTATGATGCTTTCTGTAATATTGAGTGACTTTTTCTCATTTTGAGTGATAAACATGCATGCACATTTTCAACACTCTGATTGGTTTTGGAAACTGCATTCATTTATTTGTAGTTTATTGTAGTTTTCGTAGTATTAATGTTAAAGGTTGACAGTTATTACCTTATAGAGTGATTTTTGGGTGAATTGTATTGAATCCAATTTGACCCGCACCATAAAAATGACTTTCTTCTGTGAAAAATAGAATAAGATTTATGTTGCCCTTTTCCATACAGTTAACTCCCCTAAAAATCACTACAAACACATTCTTATGATATATGATAGTGTCAACACTAAATTATTCAAAACTATTATTTTTTAATGATTTTGAAAAGAGTCTCTTCTGCTCACAATCGAAATCGAAAAATACAGTAAAAACAGTAACATTTTGAAATATTCATTTATATTAACTGTTTGCTACTTTAATCTATTTACAAATGTAATTAATTCGAAGCTGATTTTTCAGCAGCCATTACTCCAGTCTTCAGTGTCACATGATCTTTTACTGATGAAACATTAAACAATCCTAATTATCCCAAACATTTGATCTGTAATGTATATGAGTCATATTATAGTTTTGTGTTGGGGACAGACAAACATCTAAGTCGTTATTCCCTTATAATCTTCAGTGCAGCTTCTAAATTGAAGCAGATTTGCTTTATAACAGCAGCACACAATTGTATATCAAAGCAATCTGACAAATACCCAAATTATAACTTTTTCATCTGCATAAAACATGATTAATTTGACATCAAATTGAGATTAAGTCCGAGTTTAATCTCGAACGAGGTCACCTCACACTTCATGAGACATCTGGTCCTGCTCACTGACATGTTTATCAGTATAATGAGTTCAATATCATATGTTTGTTAGTGTATTAGTTCATGTGTTAATGTGAGTGCCTAAAGCGTTTGTGCTGTTTGGACTGTGTGCTTGTGCAGGAGCTGGTTGTTCGCTTCCTCCAGAGAGCCAGTAGTAATCTTCATCAGGACATGTGTGTGAACGTGCCCAGCCGTCAGCTCGACCTACAGGACCGTCAGCGCATCCTCTCACATCAGCTGGCCAACTTCATTCGTCTCTATAATGAGGTGTGTGCATCAGCCGGCCCATTATACAGAGAGGAAATTAATCAAATAAAGTTACACTTGAAAAGAGGAAAACAGGAGTGTAGAAACACAAACTTTGAAAGATCACTAAGAGTTACGTCAGTGACTAATGAAATGGGGGTTTCGCTAGAGTGCCCTATCACCTTCGAGTTCTAGAAAACGAGCCAATGGTATGAAAATACTAGGGGTGCACGATTCAGAAAATGTCACGATTCGATTCGATACCGATTTTTTGTCTCGAGATTCGATTCAAAATCGATTTTCGATTCAAAAACGATTCTCGATTCAAAAAACGATTCGCAGGTCTACATAAATGTAGTTTACTTTTTCCTATGTGATTGATTGCAGTAGACATAATTTAAAAGAAAAGTTTGATATTACTTTATATGTCTTCATACAAAAATAAAAACTTTTGCAACTAAAAAGTGCGAAGTGCCAAGCTTTGGCCAGCTTTTAAATACATTTAAATTCAAGTTTAAAATAAAACTTAAATAAAAAGCTTTTACATTTAGCTTTAAAGTGCTGTAGTCAGATCAAACAAACAATTATGCTAAATGTGGTTTAAGGAGTAGGCCTACTTCAGCTACCAGGTTGACTGTTGAAATGAACTCGACTGGGCACATTGAACTCCCTAAAAATATATAGGCTACTAATTTCATAGAACCCTTGCGAAAATATTTTAAATAGATTTAAAAAAGCCACCGCTACTGGTAACATCTATGGTTAGATTGATTTGTTTAGATCCAGTGAAGTCGTTCCTAGGCGCGTAATTTGCGGGTATCTCCAGTTAACTAGCAGAGCAATCATTTAGTTCGCTATTAAATAAGAGACCTGTTGTTTTTGAAATCAAGCTGAGCGCTCGTGTCCGCTGCGATCAGTGTCATGGATACAGTGTTCTCTGTGGCTCGCGCTGTCTTCTCTCGGACGCGCGCTTCAATCTATCGCCGTTGTGGAGACTCCGGTGAAATCACAAAATAAAATGCACACAAACGTGATGAACATATTCGGTTTTGATGAGAGAGAGAAAAAACTATACGAGTGCGGTTTAGAACCCGTAACCTCTGACACGCTTGGCAAAAGATCTACAGAACTCAAACATAAGATCTGCGGATCGATGCATTTATTTACGGGTTGAGCAGAGTGGCTGCACAGTTTGACCAGCGGGCGGCAAGAACTTGCAATAACTATTTATCAGACCGAGCCCTCGCAGCCTCGAAACCATAGAAACACTACCGGACCACCGGTAAAAGTCCCGACTTACCCGATTGCCACTCCGCCCCTGCACGCCATTAAAAAATATAGCCTATGAATCGATTTTTGGAATTCTATGAATCGATTCTGAATCGGTAAAGATTGAATCGCGATTCAAATGTGAGTCGATTTTTTTGCACACCCCTAGAAAATACCATGGTCTGCGGAATTTGCATTGCAAACTTGCATTATGTTTCTGCTTGGAGCCAAAGTGTTTATGTGCTTCTCTTCGCCTTCATCAAGAGCAACGAGCGTCTCTCTTCAGTCGGTGTTGGTGTGACGGCGCGTTTCAGCGGGTTCACGGTCCTGCAGTGACTTTGCGCACGGCTCGTGTTCTCTTCTGGGCTCTTCGGCACTGCTGAGAGAGCTTTTCTTTTTCTAAAAAAGCTGCACGGGCACGTCTTTTTCAAGATGTCTCGCCTCGTGTGTTTGGGCTTTAAAAGGATTGTTCACTTTGAAATTAATTTTTGATATGTTTTATCTTACCTCAAGGGCATCCAAGATGTAGGTGTCTTTGTTTCCACCGTATTTTCAATTTTGACATTTTTCAGTCAAACCGTTGTTGTCTATCAGTCATACACTGGAGGCTAAGGGGGTCCACCAAAGAGCAGCACAGAGAAGTCCAAATTAAACATGATTTAATGACTCGTAAATGTAAGTACACATTGATGGCCTAAGACACGAAACCAACAGTATTTATATCGTTTTGCCTCTTGTAATCGTAGCCATGACAAAATGATCTGGCGGCACGGGCGCTTCGGTCTGCGCATGCGCTGGAGATGATCGCTACGTCACTCTTTGTTTATAGTTTTGCCTTTCACTAAACATATTTAGATATACGGGAAACCGCAATGGAAAACGATTTCGGCATATCTAAATATGTTTAGTAAACGGTAAAACTTCCGAAATCTCCGTGTAAATATTGAGTGACGTCACACGCAAGCGATCACTTCCGGCGTAACATTGAACTGATTCAGTTCGGTTCACTTGGACATTTCACAACTGATTCAGATCACTGTGATTACACGAGGTAAAAACGATATAAATACTGTTCGTTTTCTCACACAAACCGCTCGTTTCATGTCTTAGGCCATCAATGTGTACTTACATGTATGAGTCATTAAATCATGTTTAATTTGGACTTCTCTGTGCATGCTCTTTGGTGGACCCCCTTAAGCCTCCAGTGTATGACTGACAGACAACAACGGTTTGACTGAAAAATGTCAAAATTGAAAATACTGTGGAAACAAAGACACCTACATCTTGGATGCCCTTGAGGTAAGATAAAACATATCAAAAATTAATTTCAAAGTGAACTATCCCTTTAATTACGCTCGGGCACGGCTCATGGATGAGTCATGTTCTCACCTGTGTGTGAACATGGCCATCGCGATTCTTAGACTCAATGACCTGCGTTGGTGTAGAGTGCCCTTTGCCACACCCCAATCTATTTCCTCCTCGCAAGGGGATATTTTGGCTGGTGGCCAGGGTGATCTGAGTGTTACGGTGTGGAACAACCCGACAAGTCTTCCTCGGGGTACGCCCCCCTCCATATCGCAAGCCGTGGGGCTTCAGGGTGATCATGTTTCCTTCCGGGGACCCAGTGTTTCATTCGGGGCTCCGGTGGATGACGCCATGTCATAGTATTACAAGGCGGGCTCGATTCCTCTGGAGATGAGGATTTGGCATTGTTGCCTCCCTTGGGAGTGCCAACATTGCCCAAATCTGATCCAGAGATGCTTGCAGCTAAGAGCATCAGGCTTGAGTGGCATTTGCTGCCCTACCCGAGCGCTCAAAGGTGGACGATTGGTTCTTGGGGGCGGTGCGTGCTGGCGGTCCCCAGTGCCTTTCTTCCTGGAGGTGCATCACCATGTTGTGGAAGTCCCCGTTGACTTCTCCCGGCCCGGCGGCTTCCTCCACCTTCTCTACCCTTGATAGCGCGGCGGCTAAAGGGTACACTTGGGGTCCCCCTGGTGGAGTGCTGTTGCGATGCAGCGTTGCCCGCAGAGTACCTCCACCAGGTGTGGCCACCCTTAGCACCCCTCCAAGGCCTGTAGATTTTCCACCTCCCTCGTGGCGAAAGCCTACAGAGCAGCGGCAGGCCGCCTCCGCCTTGCATGCCATGGCCATCCTCAAGTCCATCAGGCAAAGGTGCTCGGGGACATGCATGAGGGCAGGGCTGACCCAGGGCTCATGCAAGAGCTGCACACTACAACCGACCTCGCACTATGGGTCACTGCACGTTCCCTGGGTCAGGTGATGTCCACATGTTGTCCAGGAATGCCATCTGTGGCTCAACCTGGCTGATATGCAGGAGCACCCATTTCCTCAACTCATATCC